ATATTTTCTGGCTATGCCAAATGCCTGCGTTAGTAACTGGTGGCAATTGTACAGCATGTGACTCAAGGATGGAGTTTTGTTTTAAAGTGAAGATGTGGTTCTGAGGTTGCATTCCGTCATGGTCTCTGGAAGTAGTTTCTAGTGAGAGGGCCCTTGCCATGCTTTATTCAGTTCTGTTCAGTACCAGACTAATGTTAGTAAAGCAGAACTGATTTAGAACAAACTGACTGAAATGATGCTTAGGCTGCAGGGGCTGACAGGAGAAAAGATTGAAAGAGTGAAGTATGTGGAGGTTGCCCAAAAGGCTGCTGTGCAGAGGAGATGGGATAGCAGAGGCCTGATAACCTAGGGCAAGGGAATCATGTCTGAGCAATCATGCAAGGATGCTTTTGTAAATGAAAGATGGCTTAATTCTAATTTCTCTCTATCTCTCTCTGATGCTTTATATGATACAGATATAGTATCTTCTCTCTCTCTCTCTCTCTCTCTCTCTCTCTCTCACACACACACACACACACACACACACACACACATACACACACACACACACACACACACACACACAGGAGGGAGGCAGACATGCTAGTAAAATTGTGGATTTGCAAGACTGTAATTTCTTCCACTGAGAACAGTCACTGTAAGGTGGGTCAGAAATCGAACATATTTTTATGTATTTTTGAAAAAAATCACAGACGTAATTTGAGGGGAAAAATCAGAAAAGTTGCTTGGTTTACAGCAAAGAAAAGCAAAAGCAAAACAAAAAACCACTTCAGCACCTTAGAGATTAACAAAGCTTCTCTGTTATCATTGAGCTTTCTTCAGCATAGTTCAGGCATCCCCAAACTCGGCCCTCCAGCTGTTTTGGGACTACAATTCCCACCATCCCTGACCACTGGTCCTGTTAGCTAGGGATGATGGGAGTTGTAGTCCCGAAACAGCTGGAGGGCCGAGTTTGGGGATGCCTGGCATAGTTAATCATCAACAACTAGACAGTCGCACTACAGTATTTCCTGGGAATCTTTTCTTCACCACAAGCCATATGCTGAAACTGAAAGTTTATTAACAGATTGAAAATGCTTGATTCAGTGGCTGCAGTCCACAAACCATAGATTACAATGAGTTTTTAGTGTGGTGAGAGTTCTCTGTATGTTGCCACTTATGTAAGCAAGGTTGTGAAGCAATGGCTAAGACTATCAGGTTTCCTTCTGCATTTCAATCACTTGAGAAAGGAGGGGGAGTCTAGCCGAGTGCAGCCCTACCATGCTAAATCTCAGTACACAGCAGAGCCATACTAGGGTCTCTTGCACCTTTACCAAGGAGCTGTATCAGCGCCTTCTCACTCCCCCCAAAAAATCACTTTACTACAATAGCTACATTATAAATTAATGCATTTTCTGCAACCCAAGTACAGTGGTACCTTGGTTTAAGAACAGCTTAGTTTATGAACAACTTGGATTAAGAAAGCTGCAAACCCGGAAGTAGGTGTTTTGGTTTGTGAACTTTGCCTTGGAAGCAGAACATGTTCCGCTTCCTGTTGAGTGCGTTCCATTTGTAGATTGAGTCCCCCGCTGCTATGGGAAAGCACGCCTTGGTTTAAGAACACTTTGGTTTAAGAACAGACTTCCTGAACGGATTAAGTTTGTAAACCAAGGTACCACCACTGTACTCAAAGCATCTAGAGCAGCGGTTCTCAACCTGTGGGTCCCCATATGTTGTTGGACTACAACTCCCATCATCCCTGAGCTCTGGCCTTGCTAGCTAGAGGTGATGGGAGTTGTAGTTCAACAACATCTGGGGATCCACAGGTTGAGAAAGGCTGGTCTAGAGTGTGGGTGAAGCAAAGAGGAAGGGCAAAAAAGTGCATGTGTTGTGCCACAGTGCGTGGATGGGAAGCTTCTTGCCACACATATATATAATACACTCCATAGTCTGATGAGTGATTTTTGCATGGCACCTGCCCCCGCCCCCCGAGCCTGCATCCCTGGTGGGGTGGTGGTTTTAACAACTCCTAGGTGGTCTCCCATTCAAACATTGACCAGAACTTTGAGTTATCAAGGATGCAGGGTGTCAATGATTTTCAGTGCAGGGCGCCAGTGTTTTGCATAGCTTTGTATTCCTCTCATATAACTCATGTCCACCTTGCCTTAAACGTCATCTAACTATCACGTGTACACTCATCAATCTTTATTTTTCTTCTTTCCTACTGCTGTCCTAATGTGTGCCTTCAATTACCGAATTATCAGGAGTGGGGAAACCTAAATCTTGGGCCAATATATATGCAGATTTTATCATTTGCTTACATTATTCGAGAACAGGATTTTGATTTCTAAGGTTCAGGAAAAACATGAAACTTCAGCTATTATTTATCCTGCTCAGTGCCTAATTTTTTACCAGGAGAACATGTGGAATCACAGTCACATTAAACCACAGTCAAATTAAAGCTTACATGTGTATACTGTACAGAATAATCACAGAGCTGGTTCATGCCAATATCACAAGAATACCTGCCCAAGGCACAGATCCTGTCAGGTGCTGTTGCGGTTGCTCAAGAGTAACCAGGCAATACTCCGACCTGTCTTTTACAGGCTTTATTTTGGTGCAAACTATTTACAGTGAAGAGCGTCATAAGTTCACGTCTGCCTCAATTGCTAGCAGAATCCGGGAGTGGTCTGTTTTTGTACCTCCCCCAACATAAAAGTCTCGTCACCCCCAGCCTTTTCCGCCCCTCCCTGCGCCCCAGACTACTGCGCAGGATGGGCGATGGCAAGGGCGTGCTCCCCGCCTCTCCAGCTTGCTGAGGCTCAGTGTTAAGTCTCTTCCTAGCATCCTCTGGTCCTTGCACCTCTTCTCCACTGGAGGTGGGGCTTTCCTCTTCGCTGGAAGAGGAACTGCTTTGCAAGATTTTCGGAGGCTCCCTGTAACACAACTGCCCTTCGATCTCTCGCCTCTGAGCCAATGGCAGTTCCCTGACAGATCCTTGTGGAAAATTTCATAGCTTTTTACAAAGAATAATGACAAAAACCCAACAAATCACCTAACACTTCTGTAGGCACCAGGTTCCCAGGTTCCTTAAGGGCTTCTCCTTAAGGTGGTTTCTCTCCACTCTGCAGGGTGGGGTAGACCAGCAAGCAATACTGTGCAACAGAAGGCTGTGTTGCTCTGCTGCTGCTGAAGCCTCCCTTACCTGGGTTGTTTCTCCACCAGTGGCAGAAGCGATGGGGAGGGTGGCATCTGTGGCACCACCACCTCTTGCGCTTCCTCTACCTGGTGGCTGAGCCGAATCTGGAAGGCTCTATGGTGGCCTTTTCATCTACTTCAACTGGAAATTTAAAGGGCAGCACTGGAAGTAAAAGCTGACCACCCTGACCCCAAAGCCTTGAAACCAAGCGAAGCTACTTCGCATGGAAGAATTCTGATTGTTTTATTCACTTACTGCAAAGAATGCTCAACATTCAAAAATTTGGTGCCTTTAGTGGTTAAGCTTGCTTGCATTGAACGGAAGGTATGTTGTTTTCTACAGGCTTACATTGGAGTGGATGAATTATCAGTATTAACCAAAATTCCTCCCTGGTGCCTCTTGATTAAAGCACATAGAGACGCAGTAGGCTCAGCGGTGCCAGGAAAGCTGATGCAGTGTTCAGTCTCCAGCAGCTGCTGATTAAGGGTTCCTAGCACGTTCCATCACTATATATTGACACATTGGGTTGCAAAATCTCCAAAGAAGCTCCTACAGTGCCAATAAATCTGCTTTATGCAAATGTTACTTACATTTCCATGGCCGTACTTAGGCTATTCTTTTGCGTAATAAGGATCCAATATGAAGCAATAAAGAGGGAGAGCTGCATTTTAATATTTTGCTGAAATAGCACAGAACACTAAGATTAGGGTGGGCAAGTTTGGTGTCCTGATAACTTCATTGCTTCTGATCTTATATAGAATGACAGTCAAAATCAGGAGAACAACTATTGCATATATTTCAGTAGTATGGATCCAGCAGAGATCTGAAAGTGGGAGGACAAGATTCCCAGCGTGGGACAAATGCACGCCCTTGGATATATTCAATAGGAAATTCTAAAAGAGATGTACGTTTTAAAATCATTGTTGTGGTAACTTTTCATAGGAAACACTGGTGCTCTTGTGGAATAATAATAAGGATATGGTGTGGGGCTACCTTCCAAAAATGGTGTCCCTGGCTATTTTTTAAAAATGTAAATTATTAGTGTAAACAACGGCACAGAAGGCAATGGGCAGTGAGGTCTGTATCCCAAAATTCCTTTTCTTACAAATATAAATAGTTTGATTTGGCATGACTTTGTCATGCAAGTCATGAACCATCTATAGGAATTACTCGGTCTGTTGCAATTCTCGCTGATAGAAAGCCTTTGACCATTTTTCATTGGGAAACCAAGTATGAATTTTATTTGCCAGTTAATTGTGTATGGTTTCTACTCAAATTTATAGTCCTTGAAAGTGGACTATAGTGGAGCTGATGACATTTTACTCAATATAATTAGTAAATGGTTTGTAAATACTAAGAAACAGTGGAAGATGTCAAACTGAATAAACTTTAGCTTTGGTCCTCTTTAATTTTGGAAGACGAAACATAGTATTTTTCAAGCAAGTTTTTCCCCCACACACAGCTAATGCAATACTAATATAGAATTGTGTTCAAAATATTTATTCCAAAATCAAACACGTGGATCGTATGCTTGAAAAGCTTCTATTTAAATAAACAAAAGCAAACAAACCCTGTCCTTTAAATCATAATTGTGTTGCCTGTGATGAATCCTACTTACTAGACTGATGAGAAGGCAAACTTTATCTCTAGGTAGCAGGCAGAAAGAAACTGCAGCTGAAAGGCCTATGTCCCCTGGGAGGGATCGGATATCCGACAGTCTTAGCATTAAGTCCAGCCCATAAGGCTGCCACCTACAACCTTCCCCACCCTCATCCTCGTTGCAGCTTTGTTAGATTGCTCTAATCGATTGTCATCCTTTCGTGACCACACAGTGGGAGAAAGAGAGAGAGTCTAACTGGCTCCTCCATTCCTCCCTTAGATTTTATGGCCTCTCCTCCATCTAATTGGATGAAATAGGAAGTCACTGGCAGTCCTGCGTTGCTCGGTGTGCTGATTTAACTCGGACCAGCCCTGCAGAGGGGGTGGGGGTGGGGAGAGAGGAAGGGAAGCAGAGGGAATCTGTATGTCAGAAGAACAGAGTGGAGGAAAGAAGAAAGGGAAGAACTAAAGGGAAGGAACACTGGGGAGGGACAAAGAAGAGGGAGGTGGTAAGGACTGAGGACAGAGTTGCCATTATCTCCTTTTCGAATCTCTCTGTAATGATATTGCTTGCAGTGATGCCCAGGGAGCAGGCACCTGCTGCTCTGTAATGATTCAGCCTCTTTCTGCCGGCTCTTTCGCACAACAGGATGCTGTTGCTACTGTCATTGCTGCTGCTGCTGCCGCCGCCGCTGCTACTGCCGTTCTTACTGATTCTCCTTTTGCTCCTGCTGCATGACGGCTGTGTTTTCCTCCATCTAAGCAGCCACCCGCCTCAGATACTCAAGGTGAGAAGCCAGCCTCTTGCTCTGGGCTCTTCGTTCACTTAAACAATTTTCCTCAGGATTTCAGATTCTTCTTCTTTTCCCTTAATCTTCTTATTTTTCGCTCCGTGAAGAACTGAGATGGCTTGAGAGGAATTATAAACAACAAATTTTTAAAAGTGAGCAAGGAGGGAGGAGCAGGAGCTGAATCATTATGAGAGGCTTTTCTCCTTTCTGAATATTTGGAAGGATTCCCCCCCCCCTTTATTTGGATCCTGTTCTGACACTTGAACTCTTGATACCTATGCTGTGATCCGGTAAGATTTCTCTGGATCTTTTCCCCCATCTTTTGGCTTGCTTGCTAGTGATAATGGAAAGGTTTTTTGAGGCCTTCTAGAAGAGAGCTCAACTGAAGAAATACATGCTTAAATATGTCTGAAGCTACTCTGGAGAGTTTTCCCAACCCCTCGAACCAGCTGAGTCCCACTCCATCACTCGAGGGGCTTCCTGCTGAAGAGGACATACCAGAGAATCAAGGGGCAGACACAAGGGTGCAGGGAATAGCAGGCCTTGCTGCTACTTGCTGTGTGTGTCTGGAGGCAGAGCGGCTGACAGGCTGCCTCAACTCTGAAAAGATCTGCATTGTCCCGATCTTGGCTTGCCTGATCAGCCTCTGCCTCTGCATTGCTGGCCTCAAGTGGGTGTTTGTGGACAAGATTTTTGAATACGATTCTCCAACACATCTTGACCCAGATAGGATTGGGCAAGATCCAGTGACTGCCGTGGATCCTACTGCACTCTCTGCTTGGGTGCCATCTGTAGTGCATACTTCTTACTTTCCAGTACCCACCAATGTAGCTAACTTTGAAGTCACAGGGCAGCCTTCTGGTTCACCAGTTCCCCCTGAGGTTGCTTCTAAGCCGTCTCCATCTAGAGGTGACCAGTTAGAGGATCAGTTTTTACTCTCTTCAGTGCCCTCCTTACCCCCACCTAGTATAGAACCTGAAGTGAAAGGGTCCACGACAACATCTCTGCCACAAGAATTTGAAACTAATATCCAAACAGCTCCACCAAAACTAGGTAAGCATTCAATCCTATTCCCTGTGCAGATTGTCGTTCATATGCATACAAAACAGGTGCAATCTATATTAAAGAGTATTCATATTGTGATGATACGATTGATACTAACAGATTTGCTAATAATTAAAGAGGAGTGTGTTAGCTCAGATATTTGCTTTAGCCTGTCCTTTTGTTAAAGTTGCAAAAAGAGATGTTTGAGGAATCTGGGGTGCTAGTCATGTAATACTAACAATAACTTTGTTCAACTGATGGTACTTTACAAACAGTTCATCTGCTCCATTTAAGTAACGAATTGTATATGACTGTTATCATCACTCCCTTTTGATCTTGATTCTTTTGTGTCCCTGACAGATTATGCCCTTCGACACTTGTTCATACTCCCTCCCCTTAAGTTAGCTGGTTAGTGCAAAGAGAAAAAACAAACTGTTAATTTGGCAAAAGCAATGAAGTCCTGCGGCACTTTAAAGTCTAACCAATTTTATTATGGCATGAGCTTTCATGGCCACAGACTGCTTCATCAGATGTATGGAATGTGAGCTTCACTCCTGGCATATGATGAACTGGGCTCCAGTCCATAAAAGCTTATGCCCATAAAATCAGTGAAGTCTTCAAGGTACCACAAGACTCTTAGTCTGTTACAGCAGAGGTGCCAAGCATGACTATCCCTCTGGAAATTTGTCAGTAATTATGATCATTTATATTTCCAGTTAGAGCCTGGTACCAACCTGTACAGATATGAGCTACTGGCCCAATATACCATTGTGTATAACCCTTCCATTTATGGCTAAATTTGAGCAATAGCTTGCCATAGGCTAAGCCCTGGAATCTCTTTATATTGGGAACTCTGTCTTGGGGAGTGTGGTGTAATGATAAAGATGAAAGAGACTCTAAGCATGTGTGGAGTGCATTTCCTTTGCCACTGAGTAATTTCAGCCATGTTCCAATATCTGGGATCAGGACAAACCATTTTCTGCTTGGAGGATGTTGCTTTTAGCCTGATAACTTATGTTTTTTTAGAAAATCCCTGGAAGCATTGGAGGCAAAAAAATATCAATTTGTTTAGATGTATAAGCTTGCCCATTCTGAAACAACATCAACAAATTTATTGAAATTCACCCCACCCTTTACTGACTTGCATCTAAGCTCTGCAAAATAGCTTAAACTGGAAGATCTAAACTCTAAAGTTTCCTTTTCTTTTATTCCTCGATGTAGGAGACTGGGCATGAACAAGCTTTTAGCTTTCACCTGAACCTCTTGCTATTAACATATTTTAGAGAATAAAATGCTATGTTGGAAAATAAAATTGCCAACGTTTTTTTGAAATGCAAATCACTGAAATGACACATAAATAGTGAACTTCTATTAAACATGCAAAGGGGGGTGTTTTGAGAGGGTGATGATATTTAACAGAGATGTGCAATGGTGAACACTGATTTGTTTGTTCTTATAACATTGTAAGCTTTATTCCCTACCTCTTCACCCCCTTTTTGGCTTAATATACTTTTGAGATGTTATTTCGAGAGCATCATAAATCAACCACATGGTTATTTCTGGCAGATGTATGTCAAATGTAAAAAGATTAGCAGTTATACCACTAATTTACAGACCAATTCTATGCATGTTTGCTCATTTGGACTTTTCTGTCTAGTAAGTATGTTCAGGATTGAGTCTTCATGCACCAGATGATTTGAACGGTATAATGAGAAATCTCCATTGCTAGCAGTGCAGTTACACCCATCTGCAGGAGCTGTGGATCTTGCCCAGTTATTATAATAGTTCAAATGTGAGTTCTGCTGAGACAGGATTCAAAAGGCACAACATTACAGCTCCTTCAGAGATCCTTTGCATGAGAATCCATTACAGAAATACTGGCTGAAGCACAACTTACCTGAGTTGATAGTCTGAGCAAGTAAAGTTGATTAGTATAACAAAGATTGGTCATGTATTTGCCACGTTGACTTACTGAGCTTAACCAATTTTAGGTAGGGGGGGGGGCATGGGGAGAGCAAGCTTCTTTCTCACCATTTTTTTTGGGGGGGTATCTCCTTAAGAATGTTGCCATCCCTCTGCAGTTGGCAAACTGAACATCGTTTACAAAAAGCAGCTTCCCGTAGGAACAAAAATGACAAAGACCTGAAAAGAAGCAAAACCGAACGTATACACAGCCTGCAACATTCTGTACAACAGAGAAGAGTTTATGAATTCAGTAATTTGAAATTGAGACAGAATTTGCTCATAGCCCACCCATCTAGTGGGTTTCTTGAGAGGAGTGGAGGGGGGAAGGTGGCCTAACAGCAAATCATTATCTGCATTCCTCTCAGCTCACATTTGCAAGAAGGGAGGTGGTGGAGGAAATTTTGGAGGATTGCAACAACTGTTTTGTTCTTTAAGTCTTAAATTCCATATAGGTATTTACAGAAGGAGTAAGGAACTTGTTAACTGATTTGTCTTCGGTTTGCGTTGAGTAAGAATATTTACTTAGACGCATAAGCCAATACAAGCTTTAGAACTATGAAGATCCCTCTAGAATTGGTATGGGGAAGCAAGTCTGCAAGATACTTGCCATGGCTCTGAACTTACCATGTGCATTGCCTATTTCACGCAGTGCAAGTCATTTGGGTAAGGGAGGGTTTTATTTATTTATTTAATCCTCTAGGTGGGTTGTAAGAGCCGGGTGGGCACTTAAGCAAGTAGATATTTATTCCTAGTAAGATTGCAAGGCTTCAAACCAGCACTTCTTCGGGGCTAAATATGTGCTGTCATCGTTCATAGTTTGAGACTGACATGTCATTTTTGAACTAGACTTTTTGTGGTTACAGAATCCCATTTTCTCCTCTCCTTTTCATCCAACTCAGCATATTCTGTTTGGGGCTCTATCTTTCAAGGTCATAGTCTGACAAGGGCTAATTGATTCTTCTCTGTACTGGAGTCTGGGGGAGAAGCAATCCTAGTAATTGTCTCCGCTGTCTCGAGAACTCTCATACCTTTTAGTGCCGTACACTTTGTATTTTTTCAATATAGAAATAATCCCTTTTCTTCCCCATGCATTCTCATTCTAAATTAAATGTCACCCTGGTTCTGTTGAAATAGGAAAGAAAACCTAGTGTTTTACGCAATCATATATAGGGCATATTCATATACACATCTGAATGATGTATCTATGGTTTACATTATATTCTTGCCATAACCTGCAATCTCTCTGTGAAGATGAGTTGGTTTCATGATTACTAATCATGCTCAGATGAAATAGTGCTTTACACATAACCCACAAAAACACCTTCGTTATTATTATGGTTATGTTCAGGACGCTGCAATCATTTCTGTGGTAATAGCTGTATTGTATTATATCGTCAACATTTTTCCCCTCTTATTAGAGCTTATTAGAGGTTTGAGCTTTTTTCATTTTCTATTTGAATGAACTGTAAGGAGTTCCTGTGCAACATTTGATCACTAGCTTCAAACAGCCCAAATATTTGATAGTGGCTTTTTACCTACCACTCCCTACCTGGTTTCACCTGCCAGATTCTGACTCTTTGTTTCTTTGCACGTGCATAATGAATAACAGAAAGGCACAGTGTGTGTGTGTGTAGATAGATAGATAGATAGATAGATAGATAGATAGATAGATAGATAGATAGATATAGATATAGATAAAATTTCTATCAGAAGACTTTGTGTCCCTGTTGGCCAGCAGGAACAGCCCTACTTAAAGAGTCCCCTTGATGCATGATCAGCAAAAGGACAAAGCAGTGCTTTTTAAAGTGGTAGCTTCAGTCCTATTTAAGTTACTGTTGAGGAAGGCCTAACTAAATCTAAGCTTGCAAGGTTTTAGGAAACAATGGCTGTGATCCAGTCTAGGCTCTAGGCACACCTGGAGCCTTCTTGAGTAGGTGGGAAATAGACTTAATAAATCTAAAGCAAATAGATTATTTATTGTAAAGATGGGAAAAAGTTGAATTAGGATCTTGAACAGAGCTAAGGGTGACTTTTCACAACTGCACAAAGTTTGAGAGCAGTAAAACTCACTCAACACTAAAGGTAATCATTGTGCAGCAGGTGTGACTTATTTTCAGCGAGTCTTACTCCCAGATAACTTAAGAATAGACAGTCAGCCAAGGAGGTGTGAAATGTAGCCATATTAACTTTTCATTTGTGAACAGAACTCTACTACAAGCTTTATTAATTCAATCATTGTGTCTCGGTATTACAAGATAGACAAAAGTGGGTGAGATTAATCTCTTTAATTTAATAATGGCTCAACCTCCATAAAGTGTGTTATACCCTGCCCCTTGGCATCCTCTGGTTCATTTTAGCTAATGCCCACTCTGCTGTTTTCACAACTTCGCTGCCCACCCTTCCTCACACCCTGAGTTGGTCTTTGACAAAAACTGCATTAGTATGTATGATAAAGCTTCATACCAGGATACCTGTTGCCACATCCTAATTATACTACAGCTTAACTTAGATACTTGCTGATATACTTGATAGATATATTTGCTGCATTCAATTCTGGAGGTGTAATGCTTTTCATCTGATAATACTTAGTCACATTCTTTGCTGCAGAATTTAACTTTATCTAGTAATAGAGCTGTCTTGAACAGCACACCAACTTCACCTTGTAGATGCAAGTGGAGTCTTCAACTGTAAACTCATCCTCCCCAGTAAAAGAAGAATAAACACTTTCTTTTCCCTTTCCCTTTTTTGAAGTGTCCATAAGAGGAACTTGTTGGGTCAGGCCAATAGTCCAGTATTCCCACAGCAGCAACCCTATGAGAAGCTCAAAAGTAGGACCTGAGCACAACAGCTCTCTGCCAACCTGCCATTGCCAGAAACTGATATTTAGAGGCATATACTGCTTATGACAGGGGGACGTGGGTGGCGCTGTGGTCTAAACCACTGAGCCTAGGGTTTGCTGATTGGAAGGTCAGTGGTTTGAATCCCCGCAACGGAGTGAGCTTCCGTTGCTCGGTCCCAGCTCTTGCCAACCTAGCAGTTCGAAA